TTTCTATTGATTTCCCATACATATAGACCGGTGTACCATAATTATGTACTTGGTCTAACGTGATACAACATAATATTGGGCCATAATAATAGCTTGCTGAGTGAGAGAAGGGTGGGAGACTGAGAAAAGGCGGTAGGGATGATAGCTGAGCGGCCGTATATAAAAGAAGCAGGAGGTTGAGCGAGGGACAACGTCAAGGGGGGCAAGGGGAAGGACGGGGGTGAAGTAGGTGTTTTGCACGCTACAGGCTATAGGGCGCGCTCCTATAAATACAGCAGGTCTACTGATAATGATTTATTACATAAATCTATGTTGAGAGACCACCCTGACCATAAATAAATAGTCATCACAAAATATAACTCCTCTGGTGAGATATTGCGCATGCGCTAACACACGAACGTAGCCAGATTGATCATGACTGGTATATGCAGCGCGTACCTTATAATATTCATCACTTAGTCAGCGCTTTCTCAGGGCCGTAGTGGCCTCCCAAAAAGTGCCACTGCAGAAATATGTAGACAATGCGGGGGGTCTGGGGGGAAATTTTGAAATGTAGAGCCTGGAAATGGCATTTCCTGCATTTTCAGGCTATGTTGAAAGCAACCAATTCTGATCATTTTAAAAGGTCAATTCGTAAATTTCAAAGAGGAATGTAGCTAAAGCTGATGTTTTGACTAAAGTATCTAAAATATATATTATGCATGAGTATGATAACTATTAAAACATTATTTACAAAATTGTATATATACTATCAGTACATGCATAATTATGAAAAATAAGCCTATTTTCAATGTGCATTTATACTTTCACTATGTACATCTGTATGTTTTAAAGTTTGAATTTGAATAGGCACATTGTCATATTAGATACACATTCCAGAATTTTTTTTAAAAATAGTGCCACGGCATGCAGTGCCGTGCTGCCGTGGCGGCCACTACGGCCCTGTTTCTCCACTACTTATCACTTGTCTTGGATTTCGTTTTTATATAAATATAGAAAGAATTTCTTTGCAAGAGAATCTAGCTTGGCCTAAAATAATAAAAACAGATAGCATAGACGGTATACTGTAAATATATGCTGTCTATTTCTATGCGTATAATGAAGTCGTTGTATGCACAGTGACACTGCGAGTGCAAAGGTGACGTGACGTCATGGGCGGGGTGGAAGCAAACATGGCTGACATGTTTAGCTGCTGTATGAGCGCCCAAGAGATGGAGGAACGAAACAGAAGCAAGCGGATTGATAAAATGCTTTCAAAAGAGAAGTCGTTACATCGTAGACAAGTCAAAGTATTACTGTTAGGATCTGGTGAGAGCGGAAAGAGTACGTTCTTAAAACAGATGCGAATTATACACGGACACGATTTTGATGAGGAACAGATAGCAGAGTTCCGAAGCATCATTTATACAAACGTGATCAAAGGCAGTATGGTACTGTGTGACGCACGGCAAAAACTTGGTATTGCGTGGGAACACCCCGATAACGAGAACAACTCGAGATTTTTGTTCAAGTATAATAGTGGCATGTCGTTAGATGCGACTGTTTTTGCTGACTTTGCGACTGTTGCGAAGCACCTATGGCAAGACAAGGGGATTCAGGAGGCGTTTGATAGGAGAAATGAATACCAGCTGGTGAGTTACACTCGGGCAGTCAATAAATGAATAAACACTAAAACAGCTAAAAAAAAAAGCGGGGCAGAATTTGTTACCTATGTTTTTTTTATAAATTCTTGCAGAAATTTACTCGCGTTATCACACAATGCGTACAATAAACAACGCATACTTGAAGTTGTACAAAACAAAACAAGTTAACTATTGCAAATCAGAGTACAGGGGCCAGATTCAAGAGAACAGTATGTAAATGTTGCGCGCAATCTTCCGATAAGGTAGACTATGCGGTAATCTCGAGATTGCGCTGCGCATTCTTACAGCTGAGCTTATCAATGCCAATGGTACGATACGCTCACGCAACTTTTCAATTTTTGCTCATAGAAGAAAGTGTTCTAGACTAACCTAAATATGTTACTTGCAAGTAACTGTTAACCTGACCTCAACTTTACAATTCCACCAAGAGTCAGAGATGATCAGAGAGGCCCAAACATGTACGCTTTACAAATCCTGTAAAACCGGGCCTGCGCAATCGTATCGAACTCTAGCACACCAAACCCACGCTGATAAACGGGGCCGATCGGTAGATTGCGCTATGCGATCTTAAGAATGCGCAACACAGTCTTAAGATTACGCATATCGGAAGGTTGCGCGTAACGTATTACACAATATCATGTTTGTATAAATAATTGGGGATTTAAAGTGTTATTCACAATGAATTTTTTTCTCCAGGAACAAATATTTCATGCATACAGTGATACACTATACACATTACTGTCATTATAGCCGTTTATAGCCTGTTATTAGCCGTCATACGTACGCACAGTAGCTAGGATGCATACGCACACTCGATCCTAGTTTGGTATCCCAGTATATAGTTCACATCAGGAGCTAATAATGACAAATTTGTCATTATTAGCTCCTGTTCACATGTATGCTAAACTAATCAGAGGTGCTAAACTAGAACTGGGCCCACTAGCTAATGGCCCTGTCACACCTTGACGATTTAGCCAGCGTATGCCGACGTATCAAAAGTTCTCTAAAACGCTGGCATACGCTGAACTATCGATGTTTTTTTCAATTTTGGGCGTATACATAGCGTATTCGTAACGAGTTGGACGTTTACATAACGTATTAGTAACTTATATAGAATGTTTCGATAACTTATAGATAACTTATACCAATGAATGCTTAGCGTGTTGCCGACATTCACAACTTATGCCCAACGATAGTCTAACTTATGCATAGTACGCGGCAGCGTATTGCCGACGATCAAGTGTCGTAGCCTATAAAAAGGCGGCCGCTCGACGATTCAAATCATAACCGCACTAGACATCGCAGTATCAACATCAGGCTTTCATATTTGAAAAGTACAGGAGGACTACTAACTTCCAATCGCTCCGTCAGACCATCTGTCCTCAGAAAATGTCTAAAATCTGCCCTGTGCCCATTGACCTTTGACCTGCTGACCTCCAATTTCGCACAGTGATGGCTTTTCCTACCATGATGCATATACACCGACTATCACGAGCCTTAGGTCAAGCCGTTTAGATTTGTGCCGCAATTCTGCATTTCCTCCCTATACCTTAAGTTAAAGAGGAATGTTCCCCCTTCTTTTACACCGCCTGACTCTTTTGACCTTGACCCCCAGCTTCGACATTCCCAACTCGTTTTCGGATTCCCCCCCCCCACGTCCGAATATCGTGCCATTACGTCTGAGTCGGTTAAGATTTGTGCCCAACTGCTTGATCGCACGCCCGGACGGACGCACGGCCAGACGAAACGCACGCGGCGGGACGCACGGGACACGCACGCTCATTGCGATTCTACAAGCTGCCCATCCGACTAGTTTAAATGAATGCTATAAAACTAGCAGTTGTTCACCGTTTTATACAACTGGTTACGTCCTACATACTGTTGCGAGATATATCAACACTACAGCGTGTATTTGTGCGCACGCGTGCGGTCATGCATGTGCATCTGTCTACCGCAGATACGTACACTCACGTACATCTGTTTACACCGCGGGGAGGCACACGCAGTGCGCGGCACCGTACACGCGCTACGTGACTAGAGTGAGGAGGTCGCATCACACGGGCATGTGACAAATCCATGGGAAACCCCTCCAGGTGTAAAGTGTATTTTCTTTATTGTGTGTAATAATATATGCTCCGTGTATTTTTACCCTGATTCGCGAAACTATTGTGACTGTGCAACGAGTCTTTGGCGCCGCCTGTAGCGTGCGCATACCTCTTAGAAGCTCGCGCGTTGACGCCGATCGCTCGATCGAGTTAGCCAACTCGCGCGTCAGTGTAAACCCGCTGCACAGTTCATAGAACGGCTTGATTAGAGCGTTTGGATTGGTCCATCGCCAATACAAAGTTATGGCAGTTGGGACCAGCTTTCATGCACGCCGACGTTTACCGCATACACACACGCCACCCACGCGCACACACAATCAAACAGAGCCTATCCAATATTGATAGACCCTTATACAAACACATACCACGGTACGCGCGCCAACACAGCACACCCACACACACGTACGGCTGTGGCACACACATAACACACAACACACACACACACATGACACACACAGTCACAGCACACACGCACACACACACATACACACACGTACGCGCGCACACACGCGTACGCGCGCACACACATACACACACGTACGCGCACACACCACATACCCCCCCCCCCCCGCCACATACACACACGCACGTGCCACACACACACACAACATTACACAAGGCATGAAACACGCACGCGCACACACACACTACAACACGCACGCCTTTTCATGCTTTATACCACCGCTAAGCTTATTAATGATTCACTATGGTGAGATTTACGTATCAAACTTTTGAACAATTAAATTATGGAATTATGTATTAGACAATTATGATAGTGGACGCCTTGCCGTCGATATCGAAATATTTATAGACTTAATTGAATTGATTGTGCACAAATATATCACAACATTTCCATTAACAGTTTAAGCTACCTAATTTTATTATTTCCATACTGTGTGTACCACAGCCACTATACAATTGATAAGGTTTATCAACCAACTTCCTGTTCTATCTCATAAAATCGTTTCAATATCTACCATATATACATTATATTTCTAAATTTGCAATTTCAACTAGATGATCTTGATGCTATTTACGTTAAAACTGGACAACATACGATATAGGACATATTGTTAGCAAGTGTCTGTAAAAGTGCCTTAGAACATTTGAATACGAAAGAAATGTATAGTGAAATACAGTTTCTATGTACTTCAATCTTCTTGGCTCTCCTTTTTGAAAGGACCCTAATCTTGTCCTTATGGGTCTGGATGGCCATTATGACTCGCCTCTCCCCTTTCCATGGACTTGCTCACAGCAGATCTACTTACAGTCAAGCTAGCCCTTCCTTGCGCTAGTAGGAGATTCCGTCGCTTCGCAGGCAACTGCATTGATTATTACAACTTGACTGTGACTACTTCATCTTGACTTGGGGCTGAAAGTAATAATGATTTATATAATAGGAGGCATATCAACAATACACATCACATGTAATAAGCACTCGAATGAATAGATGATTATCACTTCAACTTCATAAAATCCTTTCCCTCTATCCTCGCAGCTCAACTCCTCCCGTTTCCTTCTCCCCCTTGATTTCCCTTCTCGGTTGCTTTTTCTGTGTTCTTTCCCTCTTTCTCTATCTCTCCTCTCCCTAATCCCCCTTTCTCTCTCTTCTTTAAGGTTGCTGTAGCACTTCCATGTACGATGCTTGCCATTCCGAATGTCCACTAGTCAATTGGCCTGTAAGTGTGGCATACAGCTCGGTTTGGTGTCATTTATGGTAGCATCCGACTTTTCCCGTTGCTGCATCTGTGCAGTTGTTGCATTTGCCCAGTCTTTAAGCTGCTGTCTGCAACCTAGTGACGCTTGATTCTGTCACCGTGCTCTCTCCTCTGCACGCCTGTTACGACACAAAAGATACCTTTAGTGGATGCAATCCAGAATATTATTGGTCTTTGCTGCGATTAAATATTTTACTAGTATGATCGTCATTTTGTATGTTAATTGTTATCAAGAGTAATGTACTATTATTAGGGTATTATTAGCTCTTGATGTTATCCACAGGTGCGTGCCCGATGAGTCTATAGCCAGTCGGCTTTTTTGTCTCTTTAATGCACAACACATTTCATTGTCGATTTCGTTTAGGCCTGGATAACTGCAGTTCCTTGGTCTACAATACATCACATATATAACATACGCAGATCCGCACGCACGGCCGCACCACATAGCCTCTTGAAGAGGAGAACAGATTTACATATCAGATACACGTATAACATCAGTTATGACATACAACACAATTTATGGGAATGTGATAGTAGCGCTAGATCGTATGCAACAGAGTGCAGAACAGTGTGAACTGTGTTTAAGCAATAGTAGATTAACTAGTAATTATTGTCTCGCAGCGTTAAGTACTACGATGTTTATGATAAAAAACAACTCACGGCAAGCTGCTTGCTTGTAAGGTGTTTAGAGCGAGGCAGTCGCCGCCTCATACTCACTCCAGATGTTTCCCTCTTGGGTTTATTCGCCTAAGTTTCGCAGGCGTAAGGGTTGTCAATCCCTATTCCAGATACTCTATGCTGGGCTTTCTTGGCCTCACACCCATGTTCTGCTCACTAAACTGGAAAAAACTCAACAAAAGTAATATGGCTAGGAATAACTGAAAACCTATACAACAACTCGTTTTGACATTCGTACTCAGCTTTTGATATACGTGACATATTACAATACTGCCAAGAACGTATAACGTTATCATGATGACATCAGGTGAATCCCACTAGGGTTTCCGTAACGTTGCCTGTGTTCGCTGTGTGGTATACCGTTAACAACATAGTAAACATAAAAACCGCGGTAGTAAAGCCCATACATCTTATGCGCTTCGAATGTTGTTCGATATTTGTTGTGCTCGCTGGTCATTAATTATCCTGCTATACCCATTAGCAGTTC